AAGGAGCCTTGACTCGATTTCAATATATAGATAGTTTATGCTCGTATCGAGGAGCCTTGACTTGATTTGGATATATAGATAGTTTATGCTCGTATCGAGGAGCCTTGACTTGATTTGGATATATAGATAGTTTATGCTCGTATCGAGGAGCCTTGATTTGATTTGGATATGTAGATAGTTTATGCTCGTATCAAGGAGCCTTGATTTGACTTGGATATGTAGATAGTTTATGCTCGTATCAAGGAGCCTTGACTTGACTTGGATATATAAATAGTTTATGCTCGTATCAAGGAGCCTTGATTTGATTTAGATAGTTTATGCTCGTATCAAGGAGCTTTGATTGGATTTGAACTTGTAGACATTTTAAACTCGTGTCAAGGAGTACTTCATTTGATTTGGACATGTAGACCTTTTAAACTCGTGTCAGTGAGTGCTTCATTTGATATGGTCATGTAGACCTTTTAAACTCGTGTCAAGGAGTACTTCATTGGATATGTAGACCTTTTAAACTCGTGTCAATGAGTACTTCATTTGACTTGGACATGTGGACCTTTTAAACTCGTGTCATAGAGTATTTCATTTGGACATGTAGACCTTTTAAACTCGTGTCAATGAGTACTTGATTTGGACATGTAGACCTTTTAAACTCGTGTCAAGGAGTACTTCATTTGATTTGAACATGTAGTAGACCTTTTAAACTCGTGTCAAGGAGTGTTTCGTTTGATTTGACTTGTCATATTGCATAGGGTGTTGGTTACTCAAAACACTTGCCCCCATCCTCATGATCTTCTTGTTCTTCTTCAACATGTTCTTCATTGAGCTAGTACGGCTTTTGGAATGGTGGTTCTTCAATTTGATTTGCAAGTATGCTCAACTCCATATCATGTGCTCGAGTGGCCAACTCTTCAAAACTTTTAGGTTGAATTACTTGAAGGATATATCGGAGTCCCCATTGCATTCCTTGGATGCACAGTTTAATAGCTGATGTCTCGGGCAGTCGATCCTTGCAATTAAGACTCAAATTTCTCCAACGGTTGATGTAGTGGATGACAGGTTCCTTCTTCCATTGGCGGGAATTGGTGAGCTCAATCATGCTGACTGTTCTTCGAGTGCTGTAAAAGGGGTTGAGAAATTCTTCCTCCAAGTGCTTCCAACTATCAATGGAGTTTGCCCCCAAATCAATGTACCAATCAAACGCGTTGTCTTTGAGCGATCGGACGAATTGCTTGACGAGATGATCTTTGTACGTCCCGGCATCATTGCAAGTCTCGACGAAGTGTGCCACATGTTGCTTGGGGTTGCCTTTGCCGTCAAATTGTTGAAACTTTGGAGGTATATAGCCCATTGGCATCCTTAGATCATCAATCCTTTGCGTGTATGGCTTGACATAGGTTGATGGAGACTTCGCGCTTCGTTCCAACTTGTCTTTGATGGTTCCACTGATCAGCGTCATCACTTGATCTACATGAATCATCCCTTCTGGAGAAACTTGAAGTTCTTGAGCTGGAGCCTTCTCGTTTTCAACTGGCTGTTGCTTTGTGGATACCTCGACTTCGTCTTGAGCCTCTATCTGTTCCACAATTTGACTAGCATCGGCTTTGTTCATCTTCTCAATCAACTTGGCAATTTGAGAATCTCGTTGTTGAACATGCTTTGTGAGTCCATCAATAGCCTTGGTCAAACTTGAAATTTGCTCTTCCATAGTTGTAGCATTTGTTGTCATGACGGATGCCATCTCTGAGTAGCTTGATGTTGAATAAGGCATGGGCTGTGACATCTCTCGTTTTGAGCCTTCCACGTCTGCGCTTGTGTTGACAAGAGGTGGTAAGCCTTTTTGAACGGTTTGGGGCGTCGAGCTAGTCTTGGAGGATGCTTGCAGCTTCTTAGCCATACTCCTTGTAACTAAGCTCACACTTGATGAATCCGAAGTAGCAGTCTTCATTGCGGACGTAGAGCAGTCACTGCAACACTTTGAGGATCTTCGAGAGAGAGAAGAGATGAGAGGTAGAGATGTCCCACTGGGCGTGCCAAAATTTGTAGCAACAAAATCTTATCTGCGATTTAAACAAACAAGAAAAACTTGCACAAAAATAATTTATTAGATTAAAATTAAATATTGCGGGTTACAAACTCTAATTTAATCATCTGATTCTTCTCTCAAGAATGATATGCGTTTGACTTTGAATTTCGGAGTCGGGTCGTTGACTTGATCTTCTCCGGATTTGATTTGGATTTGAATAACGTCTTCCGAGGGTCTTGCGACTTGAATCTCGGATCCTGAACTTTGACGGGGTTTGACTTGAAGATCTTGGAGTTCTTGATGGATTTGGCCCTTCAATCTTCCTTCGATCTTGATTTGTTGAAGAACGCCCTCGATTTGATGAAGAACGCCTTGAATTTGATGAAGAACGACTTGAATTTGATGAAGAACGACTTGAATATTGTAGAGAGAATTTTCTCCTACGGTTTTTCTTCTTCTTGAGTTGTGTTTTGAATTGTGTAGGGAGGGTCCCTATTTATAGTGGTAGAATAAGAATCCTACTTAAAGTCTTCTTGATGACGTGGCACGATTTGATTGGCTCTCTTTAAATTGATATTTATCTCTTATAACTTGGAAGAAAAGAAATAATCCTATTGGCCAATAATTAATTGATAATTATCTCCATAACTTATTTTGCAAGATAGATTATAATTTAATTTAGACACAATTTAATTGACTAATTTAATTAACCAATTAATTAATTTTATGCGTCTACAGGGGTTATTAAAATAGGGTTTTATTTTGATAACTCCAATATCCGGAAGTAAAAATACATCCTAGATATATAATTATCAAATATTCTCCTGAAAAAATAGGAGCACATGAAAAAAGAAAAACCTCAACAAAATTGAGTTTTCTTTTCGCGTAAAAATCTCGACAAAATTAAATTAAATTTTCTCTTCAACAAATTTCCACTTGAAAAAAAAATCTCAAAAATATCTCAACAGATTTTTTTTCTAGGTCTTCACCGAATTTCCACGGAAAAAAAGAATTCTCCACACAATCATCGAAGGCCGACTCGGTGTATTAATCACCATTGAAGACACTTCAAGCAATTTCTAGGTTTGCTTAAATTTTTAATACTTTTTTATGATCAGAAACTCCTGGGAATTCTTTTCAATACTTTTTTTTAATTTTTTATGATTGTTTGTATGATTATTTAAAATGGATTACAAAATAAATAATATATAAATAATCATAAATTTTTTTGATAATTGTTTTTTGATACTTGTGGTTGGAGTTCACTAGTTGTATAGAGATATCAAAATAAATTCCTGGTTATCAAATGAGTATTTGATAACCCCATTTGATAACAATTGGTTGGAGTTGCTCTTACACCCAATAAAAGAAATAAATGGGTTGGCTTGACAAAAACTCGATCTCAAATTTTTCGAGCTTGAACTTTCTAACAAGTCGAGTCTGAGCTCATTCGTAGGTGTTCATGAGGTCACGAGCCGGTTCACTAGCTTTATTTTTATTTTTTTTATAAATATAATTAATGTAAAATTAAGTAATAAATTCATACAAATAACTAAAAAAATAAATTGTCGGTCATTTTTCTATTTCGTTTTTTTTATTATAATTTATAACAATAAATTCTAACAATATTAAACAAAATAAAAAAAAAACGTAAAATGGGCTCAGGCTCAAGCTCGAACTCGTCAAAATGAATTCAAGCTCGAGCTCGACCTCGGCTCTTTTAAACCACTAACATAGTGATATCATTCTTCCAATTATTAAAAAGTACATATATATGTCTCCATCGTTATATTGATATAAAATTTGAATTATTATCAAAACAAATGAAAAAAAAAATGGAATTTGTATAATATATAGCTGTCCTTTATATTCCACCTTTTTACATAAATAATTGGAGCTTTATTACAAAGGAGCAAGTGGACTCTTGATACTGATATTTTAACAAGAGAGAAAACAAAAACAACGGGCAAATTAAATTAGGACCTTTATAAACACGTGGGTCATATAACATTAAACATGCTTTAAATATGAATTAATGATTAATTAGTGGCGGACCCAAGGCGGCGGGCAGAGTGAACCGGAATCTACTGAGAACTAACCGAGTCTCCTAACAAGGATAAATTTGACTGCTGACTTTTCTTGACCAAATTAAATCGGTTTGTGTGTTTGAAATGTTTACTACTACTAGTCCTTATTGAATATTTATGTGGTTTTAAATATTTTTTCAATATATTTTGGGATGATTTGTTTTTTGAAGATAATGTGTGCCGTATAATGTATATGTTGGGTAAGATGATTTCATTTATATATTACTAGTTTCAATATTATATTATTAAATATTTGAATATGATTAATTTCTAATTTCAAGAAATATATAGTTAAAAATAATATATGAGAACTCATTTTGATGAGTAACTTGTGATTCCTTAAATATTTGGGTCTTGTTTGATGTTTGTTTAGTATAACTTTTCGGGATAACTAACAACAGTGGTATAATGCAGAAATCCGCAGCTAACCATTTTTAGGTGTACTGGGTAAATCTACATTCTCGTATAATAACTTGTAATCAGATGTGAGATATGAACCACACTAAACTAAGACAAACTGAACTTAACGACCGTAGACAAAAATATTCCAACTTGGTCATCTGACACAAATTCTTTTACTCGTACTCTAATTACATGTTCAATATCAAACAAGGCCTAATTTATTAGGTAGAGAGGATGCTGTTTTGTTTTTTATTTTATATTTTTGAACTGAATTGGTTAATTAATTAGTACTATTGAATTCAAGAAAATGTTTTTATAAAACAAAAACCAAACTAATGAGTTCAATGAGTCTTGTATTAAAATTGAATTATGGGCCAATTTAAAATATTAAACAAGATAAAACCAGTTAATCAATTTTGTTAACTTCTAAACCATGATTACAATCTCATATAGAAATTGATTAGTAATTCGGATTTAATCAAGAACACTAATTTAGTAAATCGGATTTGATTAATAAATTGATTAGTTAAAAGCGATTTACATTAATTTCTCGCAATTTCTACAGTAATAATTGATTATTGACTGCTGAAATGGATAACTCCTTGTAAGAAAAGAGATTCAGAAACAGAGTAAAGAATATACACCGGATTTTTCTAAAAAGAAAATGAAATTCACTACTTCGCCACCGCAGCACCGCCGCAGGATTTCAAAATTTCCGGCCACCACAAATCGCCGCCGCAACTTCACACCGACTTCGGCTCGATATTGCAGACGAAAGGGTGCGACAGAAGCTGCGTGGCACTCCACCTCTTACTCGAATCCTTCTGCAAACAGCACTCGATAAAGCTCCTGAAATTATCCGAGGTACTCTCCGGCAGGCTGGGCGGCTCGCCGAAGCATATGGCGCACATTAGCGTAGCCCAGTCGGGCCTCTGCCCCGGCGCCAAATACGGAAAGTGGCCGACGTAGAGTTCCAACAGGGTTAGACCCAAGCTCCATATATCTCCCGCGTACCCGTTATAGTTCGACCCGTATGTATCCGGGTCGAACCGCTCCGGGCTCATGTACGCGCACGTGCCCACGTACGAGTTACACGGATCCAATGTTCTCTGCATAATTTTGCTGACACCGAAATCGGAGATTTTGACCTCCATTTTCTGATCGACTAACAGATTCGACGGCTTCAGATCGCGGTGGATGATTTTGTGCGCGTGTAGGTACTCGAGGCCGCTGAGTACTTGGTGGCAGATTTTGGCGAGGAGGTCCTCGGTGAAAACGACGCCGTTTTTGAGTAGGGTTTCTAGGGTTCCCATGTCCATGTACTGCATACAGATGGCGAAGTCGCCGCCGGGGATATCGAACACGCCGTGGCACTTGATGACGTGGGGGGAGTCTGTGCGGCGGAGGATCGAGATCTCGCGGAGGATCTGGCGGCGGAAGGCCGGGTCGCTGTCGCCGTGGACGACTTTCAAGGCGTAGATCGCGGAGGTGTGCTTGTGCCGGACTTTGTAGACGGTGCCGCCGTTCCCGTGGCCGAGGACTTGAAGCTTCTCGAGGTCGGCGGCGGAGATGGCGGCGGCGGAATTGGTGGGGGCGGCGGCGGCGGAGTTGGCGGAAGGAGGGAGGGGGAGAGGGAAGCGGTGGCGGCGTTCGGAGGGCTCCGGGAGAGGGAGGCGGAGATTGAGGTGACGGCGGTCACGAACAACGGCCATGAGATAACGTGCGCCGGCGGAGAGAGTGGGGAGGCGTAGGATAAGAATGTATTTGGTGAAGAGAAAGGAGTGAGCTGTATATAAAAGAGTACATATTTGTGAAGCACGTGTGCCCGGTGGGTGGAAGGGAGATGGAAGGGGCATATACCTGTGGGACCCACTTCTTGGATTGGTTTTCATTTTTATTTTATTTTAGGGTTTATTAGGGAAAACCCCCTTGTTCATATTTTCTAATGAGGTAGATCCAATTTTTTTTCCCCTTTTTGAGATACACCCAATTTTGCCAACTTGACAAAATATATTATATAATTTCCCTTTAATACCCCTGTTTTATTATTAAACGGCATTTATTTCCTTTAATACGTGATTTGAGATTTGCTGATACGTTGCCTAAAATCACGGAATAAATTTACGTGAGATCATTGGCCGTTATATCAAATCGTGTATAATATTTTTTGAAGATTCTCTTCATCGTTCCAGCGGGTTTTATCGTCATTGAAGATTTCTGCACCGTCGTGGAAATAGGATCGATTTTTGAGCGTTTGTTGTTGGACGTTGTTAAGCGGGTATGAATGCGTTATTCGTTTTTATTTTTTGCTCAATGTCCATGATTGTCTTGTACGGTGGTTAGAAATTTTTAAGAGTTGTGTTGATACTTGATTCTATTAAGTAGAACGTTTTTTAACAAAATTATTCCGTCATATATATATCGTTTTTTTTTTTGCCGATGATGTTTGTTTGGAAGAGGATTGACAGAGTTAGAAGAGGATGGTTCACGCAGATCGGACCAGAGTTGTTTTATATGAGCTTCGTAGTTGGTTTATGCAATAATCGGAATAATTGTCCGCTTTGGTCGAGTTCATGTTTTTATCCCGGTCGATAGTTGGTTTATTTGTTTATAACAGCCGATTTAAGTGTGCTGGGTAGTACATTAAAATATAGTTCGTAGTCTTTTTTAATTTAGCGTATGAATTTTGCATTTTAAGTTTATTTTTGATGATATTAATGTATTATCATTCAAATGTATTTGCAGTCTATTTAATTATTTTTTAGTATTCTGCATTTTTAATTTTGTTTCATGATTTTAGGTTTTTTCGATGGCGAATTTCGTACGGATTTTGTTGAGGTTTGGTGGGTTGGTTGCTATAAAGAGGTGTTTACGATGTAATGGCTCGGTAACTTCGGTTAAGTGTTAAACCGTTGTAATACAGTAGTATACTATTATGAATACCGTATGATACTACCATTATCATTTTATTATACTATTATGAGATTATTAATGTACTAGAGTTTCTAAACTCGACATATTGGTTTGATTGTGTTATGATGTGTTTTATGTATTTTATCAAAACCCTAGATTGAAATTATGAGATTATTAATGTACTATTTTATTGGTTATGTGGAATATTTTACGTTGGTGTTGTTCTCAATGTTCTTGTCATTTCAGTGGTATATTGTTTGTAACACAATTTCATATCAATACTATAACCGTAATATACTATCACAGCAGATTAATGTACTATATTGAAATTATTAATATACTATGTGGTTGAATAATACGGGATCCATACTCTATTAACGAGATCCATAGTCGAATTAGATCAATAAGATAGTCTATTACATGATATAAGGAAAATTACCTTAATTGATTAGTATAACAAACATATTATTCAGTTTCCATATATATTATTATTTTTTCATATATATTATTATTTACCCTAATCGTTTTCATATAATAAGGAAAATTACCCTAATTGATTAGTATTTCAAACAAACATATTATTCAGTTTCCATATATATTATTATTTTTCCAATATTCAATTAATTAAACCCATAGTCGAATTAGATACATGAGATAGTCTATTAAAAGATATGAGATAGTCTATTAATTTTAAAAAGGTAAAGTAACGGGATTTGTGGGATTTGATTGAGGGTAATTATGTAATTACGAAAAGCTTGGGCTTTTATCAAAATGGCAAATTTAAATTTGGGTCTACCCCTATTATTTGAATGTTTAAGGGGGTTATATCTAATAGACCCTTTATTTTATTATATTACTTTATTTATGTATGATAATGCGAATCTTAATTTAGATTTTGTTTCTTTGTTTTGTATATTTATTCTAATTACTAAATATTCTCTCTTTGTGCGTAATTACAATCATCTATCAACTATAGTTTATAAATGTTCTTACATGTCTACTCTTGGAGTGTCAGATTTAGGTGGTGTTTGCAAATGATTATTTAAAAGCAGAAGTTAGTGATTGTGATTTAAGTTAGGTTTAAGTGCTTATTTCTAAAAGTTGGGGGTGTTTGCAAATATTTCGGAAAATGAACTAAAATTGAAAAGCAGGGTTAGGAGTGCTTTTAAAAAAATAACTTAAAGCAGATTATTTTAAGAGAAGCAAAAGCAAAAGTTGATTTTGCAAACACCTAAAAACAGATTATGAGCAAAAAAAACTGCATAATCACTTTCAAAAAGCATTTGCAAACACCACCTTAGTAGAATCTTCTAGATTATGTGTAATAATCTCGAGTTTGTACCCGTATTGTACGCAAAGGCGGTTTCTGATGCACCACAATCTGATATTTCTAGACAAGAGACACATCTTATGATCATCTTACTTCACTCGAATGTGGTAAAATTGGTACAAATTGGAGAATATTCCATATAATTTATAAGATTTAACTAAATATGACACTGCGAGAGTAAACGTATAAGAACATTCATAGTTAGAGGTGGTTATAATCACCCAACATAATATGGAATTTTGTAATTTGATCTTAACATAGAGGTAGCTGTAATTTTAACAAGATTCTAATTTACTACTACATGGGTTCGAGTAGGAATATTGAAAAGTTTTTACTAGTATCTAAATGAGGATATTATTTATATCAAAAATTCTTGTTGGTATTTTACTATATTTTGTCATTTTGATGTTGAATATTCCGCTAGTAATCTAATAAAGCTTTCCGGCTTGGATATAAATTACTATATATAATATACCGATTACCACGACATAGTTATTATAAATTATCGAATAAATATTGAAATATCGGTTACTTAAACCATTGAACTTTCTTATTTACTAGTTTTCGTATATTTTATGTAGATCTTCTAGTAATCATAAATTACTTAGAGCAAAACTCAAATATAGGTGTATGATCTATATACCCTCAAATTGCTTAATCATCAATTGCATTTGATTAATTTGTTGTGTTTATTTTGTATTTATCTTAATTTTCATATCATTGAAGTCTATCGAAAAAACGAATGATAGAATACCACATATCAATTAGGTCGTATCATAAGTGATGGCAAATCGAATAACAATATACCACAATTATTGATACAATAATGATATATACATTTTAATACCTCAAAATACAGTATATATATGGTACTGAGCTCAATGTTTGACAACGATACCAAAACCACCTAAAAATTACAATTGAAAGTTGAAACTATAGTAATTAATCAAAAAAATTGTGTACATCACCCCACTATGACGTTAAACAATATTAAAAAAAAAAAAATTTGAATTAAAATTATTGAATGTCACTAGATAGCTATCTTATCTTGTGAATTATTTAATTTCATTAATGTGGAGTAGTGTGACGGCCACCTAATAATAGTGGCTTGTGGAGCAAGTGGACATATTTCTTTATCTTGTGAGTGACGTGCCACTTGTCTTGGACTACATGGCAACTTGATTATATCTAAAGCATGCCACGTCACCAAATTATGTCCTAATTTTTAGTTATATACATTGATATATAAGGTCGGATCGATCAACAAACCAAGATATACAACTAATTACCTTTTATCATTAGACAACAACTTACTCACACGTCCACGTCACTTGTCGTTATTCACTTAACGAATAGAGTTGCGAGTCGATTCGTAATTTTCAAATTTCCATCAATTTCGAGAAAATGCATTAATTTCAATATTTGATATTCTAAATTTTTTTTTTGAATCTTTTTGGATTGGTGAGTAGTTCTAATACTACACCAATCTTTCACCCTAGAATACCATGATTATCTCCTCCGTACCGACGGCCGCCTTCGAGGCACCACCATTTGTACGTCAAATACACTGTCGGTGTTGAAATAACCCTCCTCACATAAACTGATAATTTCCTGCTCTACGTTCCCGACCAATGCTTTGCATGGCAAAACTTCTTACATTCGTCCGACACACTCCAGTTTTTCTGCCATCGATTTTAGTATTGTTATGTGACAGTTTACGGAATCAACTATATTTCTTTAATATATAGTCAATTTTTTTTATTTTGAGGTCTAATATACGCTTTTATGTTTTAATCAATTATAGTCGATCAATAAATCAACTACATAAACAACATAGTGGATTTACGTTCAGTTTAATCCTGATATCCACGAAAATCATAAGATAATCTAGAATTCTGCGAAAAAAATGTAGTCATCACTAATTATTTTTACATGATGTACCTATCTCAATGCAATAAAAGAAGAATACAAAATATGTATCTCTAAATTAAATCTCACAAAACCCTACTTAAGAAACTTCACTTCCACGTGCAATGCATGTTAAATAAACAATCCTTAAAACATCCAAAGAAATTTGACGTGGCCTAGGTACATTTAATCTGTGTAACGGAAAATAGTGCAAACCATAATTTATTTCACGTTTTCAATAACTTTGTCGCGAGACTAGTATTATGATTTATTTATTCTATTTGACAATATTCCATACATTTTATTAGCAAGATACATTTTATCTATATTAATGTACGTACGGGGCTGGTTCTGAGAGGAGGCGATCGCCTAAAGCCCCTGGATTTTTTTAAAAATTTAGGGCCCCCAAATTCTTTTATACCCTTAATATATGTTAGCATTTATCCAAAAAAAAATTATATTATATATATAATTATTGAGAACACCAATTCATTAATAGATATAAATCAACGATTGTTACTAGCTAGTATTTATGATTCTTCTAATTATGGGGCCCCTAATTATTAAATTTACAATGTATTAGTTATTTATTTTTATATATATTCACTAGCTTTAGTGCTACTTCAAGCAACTTATCCTTAAAAAAAATAGAGGGTGCTGCCCCCGAACCCCCGCAAAGTTTAATTAATCCCACTGTATCACAAATTTCTAGTCTTGTCATTGGCTTTATACCTTACAAAAACGAGTTAACA